GATTCTAGGCTTGATGAGCCCGAGCGTCGCTCTCCGCGCACGCTAACTGTGACGAGTGACCTCGTTGGGGATGTGGAGGTGGCCGACTAAGAGTCTTACACTCCTTTTCTCGGGTGGAATGACGAGGAAGGCGAGCCGCGCCAGCGGCGTCCATGTCCGTTCCCTAACTTCTCGTCACCTAAGGAACGTGGTGTAATCACCAATGACTTCGATGAGGCACAGGAGCGGCGGCTGGAAGCTGCTCGTAAGGTGGCTCTGAAGCGCACCCATCCACGGCCGGTCATTGATCCTCGCGTGAAATATGGCTTCCGCCCGGCGGATCCCGCTGTGAAATTGAAGGATGTGGTTACTCGATCGTTACGCCTCCGCATCATCGGGTTTCCGGCCATAACGGAAGATGAGCTTGCCGAACGGAGAGCTCTTCGATCTCGTTTCTTGGTCCCACAAGAAATTTCGATAAACGTTTGTCGCACTCATCTACGTGCTCAACGAGGTGGCTCTCGTGTATCCGCAATGCGGACGATACCTGTAGTGCTCGCCCCTGCCGAAAGCGCCACAGATGATGAAGTGCTCTTTGAGCGATGGGTGCGACGACACCGAAAATATTTCTTACTGCATGCTTTACAGTTGAGCCACAAGGAAGTGAACGTGCGTGTGGAGCGCCAACTCATATTTGAGTTTGCCAAACTCAAAGCACGCCGTCGACTCCCTTCAGCTTGTCGCCCTGCGACGTATGAGTCAACCCCTAGCGCTTCCGCGGGCTCTCCGCCTGCGACCGCAAGAGCTCAGGGCCACCGCTTGAGCTTGGCTTATGGCCCTTCTACTTCTCTGGCTATTTGCCGGGAAGCGTGGAGCGTCTGATGACGCGGGGCGTTTTGATCTTTATGATCAAAAGTGTCCACGGCGCCTTGGCAATCTTGCCGAAGTGGCGTCTCAAACTCCCACGAGTTTTTGGGGAGTCGGGATATCCCCGCCACTTCACCAGATATTGCTTCTAACCCTGGTGACGACGTCGTCCCACTAGACGCCCCACGTGATAGTGGACGTCACCGTTCTCATCAGGAAGAGTCGGTGGCGGGCGGTAACGACCGGGTCGACCGCCGTCCGGTGACTCGTGATGCTCTTCGAGCCCTTGAAGACTAGGTCCTTCGTAATCGAAGCTCCGCTGAGCGTTATGCTGAAGTAGCATATCGCTGTGCGGACGCTCTTGATGATTTGGAGCGCGTTGTGCGCCTGCTGCCTCGCCTTGAGGACTATCGCGCTCTGTCGGAGCGACTCCTAGCCGTGGCGCAGGCAAACGCGTCGCTGCAGGCAACGTGGGGCGCTTGGCTCCATTGAAGATGGAGGTTGTTGCACACCGTGCTCAGAAACAGTTGCTGATTCAGCTTCTGGGTGGCCGAGGACCCGTGGGATCCGCTCTGGCGCCAACGCTTCCGCGTTCACTTGCGCTGGATCCTGGTATGGCTTGTGCAAGCCCACGTACAACACTGGGTGGGTGCGCATCCGTTTTGGGTGGTTTAGCGTATATGCTAGGCCCGCTTGGCCACAACCTTAAACGGTCCATTAAACAGTAGACGAAGCTGAGATCGAAAGATAGCAGAGGCTGCATGTGTAGGAAGGTTTTTGGAGCTTAATAAAACCAGGTCTCCGACCTTAAAGCTTTCCTCTTTGCCTCTTCCATTTTCATCTGCATATTCTTTCTGCAGGTCTTGGCTTTCAGCCATCGCATCGCGAACGT